CGCTGTCAGTTCTTTGGATCAATTTCCTCCAGTTCCCCAAGTACTGTATGACCCTTATGCATTTAGCATTTCCCTGTGATTATGCTTAATAATCTACAATATGGATTATTCTAGCAACTATGGGGTTTCTGTTTTTAATGTTTCAAAACTTTATTTTTTCTTATTCCTTATAAAAATGAGACAGCATGATTTTTATGTATTTAAACCTAATTCAGAGATACAGGGATGAAGTTTTTTAATTATTAAATATTTCTCATCTTTGTAGCTTACTCGGTGTTTATGTACCTGTCAAATTGCAAGTCTGAAAATTGGAGTTAGTGATGAATACAAAGAGGCTACAGTATAGTAATTAAAAAAAAAACATTTGAGTGACTCATAGCCGAAGGGTTTGATTAACGGCTGGGTCAAGGCATATGGGTAAGTCTTCTTACATCTGCTGCCCCTGTTCATTTATCCATAAATAGGTACCTACTGTACCTGTTATGGGTTGCAGCCTGAGAGGTGTTAATATATTGTAAATGGAACTGGATAACAGCACTTTATAGATAATGAGGAAAATAAACCTGACTTGTCAGAAGTCATTCTGCAATTAAATGACAAGTTTAGCACTTCATAAAATATACATGTACTGTTCAGAGAATCAGTACATGTATATACATAATAGAAACTCAATAACCCCTTGACTGTCGCAACCCCAAATCCTGAGGTGTCTCCTGGTGTCGCCAAATCACCCCCCCCCTTATTTTTTCTTATGAAATGATAGAGAATCTTTTCCTGATTGTAATGACATCAAAAGAACGAAATTTGAAGGAAAACTGATGGAATTACACTCGCAAAGTTAGTGACCTTGGCGATATTTACAAATCGGCGATTTCGCCCACTTTGAGGCCTATTTTCGGCTGATTCCATTGTTCCACTCGACCAAACTCATAGCTATTTCTTTAGAACTCAATTTTTTCTATCGATTGAGTATAAGAAACTACCCATTTACCGATTTCAACTACCCATTAACGTGGTCAGAAATTTGCAATTTGGCCAATTTTACGAAAATGAAAAAATATGACAATTTCAAAATAGGGTCCAGAATGAACAATGCAGACATTCCTGGCTCTAAAATAACATTTTCTTTGTTCACCAGTCATGTCTCCAGGCCCCTCTGATATTACTCTTGCTTTCTATTTTGAATTTTTGTTCAAACAAAAAATAGAAGATTTACTGTTATGCAGACTACTGCAATATTGTAATAATTGTATAAATAATGTCAACCCATTCATGACTGAATAAATAAATAAATAACAAAAAGGCACATTCATGACTGTATATTAAAATGGCTACTTGGACATTTATTGGAAAATGACATCATTTGCTTACTTTTGTGTTAAGGTGCCTATGGATACAAATTTATAAGTGGAGGTAAAAAAAAAAAAGTGAAGATGCCAGAATATAGTGTTACCAGCACTTATACATGGGTGCTAGGCACAGTCTTTAAACATTACAACAAAGAGGAGGCTTCAGGCATTGGAGGTGTCATGTTCAAGTGCAATATGTGGTGTGAATATTATGCAGAGAATTTGGAGCTTAGAAATTAGAAGAGATGGAGGGTTATAAAAGTTATAATTCAGAGGTTGTTTGGTTATTTAGAAAGGATGGCACAAAATAGGACGAGTGAGAAAGTGTACAAGTTCAGGGTGGAAGGAAAGAGAAGTAGAGATTGTCCAAGAAGGGAATGAAGGAAAAAGAGTGAAGAAGGTTTTAAGTCGTATTGGCTTCAGTATCCATTAGGCGTGTGTGTGTATTAGACTGAAGTGAGTGGAGATGATATAATGTGTGTGTGTGAGCAGGGTAACATTTATGAAGGGATGTATGGAAATCATTTAGCCAGACTTAAGTCTTGGAGGTAAAAAGTATAGTGCCTGTAATCTTTAAGAGGGGTGAGAATGTTGCAGTATGGTGGGTCATTTGAATTGTGATGTCAGTGCACTAGCTGGCAAGACAGCTATTGAATGAATAATACTGAATGTGTTTCCTTTTTTTTTTTTTTTTTTTTTTAATCACCATATCTTGGTGTGAGATGGCTGATGTAAAAAGAAAATAAATAAGTAAAGGAAAATACAACAGAAGAGAGAGATTGAGAGTTGAAGGTGTTGAGAAAAAGTTGAAAGGATGGAAGTTACAGTTGACAAAGCAAACTAGTGTCATTTGGGAAAACAAAGAGAGGGTCTGCAACAAATTTGGAACCATGAGAGAGAGAGTTCAAGGTAAGCTTATCAGGGCATTGGTAAAGGCATCTAGGCATTCTTGGCCACCCATTGCCAGGCATATTTTTTTTTTAATTTGCTGGTTTGTGAATATACTACAGTACATACAGTATTTTCATGGGTTTATGTAACCTAACCTAATATAGCCTAATGCAGCTTCAAAGTGGAAGTACTTGCAAGTTTACCAAAGTGGTAAAAAAAGAGTAAAAAATTATCATTTGGTACCTCGTAAGAAAATTACTATGGTAAAATATGGATGGGTCGAATGTATACTTGGTGCTGAAACAGCAGGACATAGAGGGTGTATGTAGTCATCATGAATATTTGAGACATCAATAATAAAAAGTTATACAGTACTTAAAAATTCAGAATATACAATAAGTTAAATAAATGATTGCATAAACAGTTATAAGAACATAAGAAAGAAGGACCTAGGTAGTAGGTTGGTAGACAGCAACCACCCAGGGAGGTACTACCGTCCTGCCAAGTTAGTGTAAAACGTAAGCCTGTCATTGTTTTACACGATGGTAGGATTGCTGGTGTTTTTTCTGTCTCATAAACATGCAAGGTTTCAGGTACGTCTTGCTACTTCTGCTTACACTTAGGTCACACTACACATACATGTACAAGCGTATGTATACACACCCCTCTGGGTTTTCTTCTATTTTCTTACTAGCTCTTGTTCTTGTTTATTTCCTCTTATCTCCATGGGGAAGTGGAACAGAATTCTTCCTCCGTAAGCTATGCGTGTTGTAAGAGGCGACTAAAATGCCAGGAGCAAGGGGCTAGTAACCCCTTCTCCTGTATATATTACTAAATGTGAAAGGAGAAACTTTTGTTTTTCCTTTTGGGCCACCCCGCCTCGGTGGGATACGGCTGGTGTGTTGAAAGAAAGAAGAAAGAAGGAACACTGCAGCAGGCCTACTGACCCATGCGGAGCAGGTCCATTTCCCCTCCCCCCCGGATTAGCCCAATGACCCACCCAGTCTGGTCACTTCTACTCAAGGAAGGAGCACGGCACCAAACCCAGCAGCACAAGCTAGTCAGGTCCAACTCACACCCACCCACACCCACTCATATATTTATCCAACCTATTTTTAAAACTACACAACGTTTTAGCGTCAATAACTATACTCGGGAGTTTGTTCCACTCATCCACAACTCTATTACCAAACCAGTGCTTTCCTATATCCTTCCTGAATCTGAATTTTTCCAACTTGAAACCATTGCTGCGAGTCCTGTCTTGGCCGGAAATTTCCAGCACGCTATTTACATTTCCTTTATTTATGCCCGTTTTCCATTTATACATCTCGATCATATCCCCCCTAATTCTACGCCTTTCGAGAGAGTGCAGATTCAGGGCCCTCAGTCTATCCTCATAGGGAAGATTTCTGATACATGGGATCATCTTTGTCATCCTCTTCTGTATGTTTTCCAGAATATTTATATCCATTCTGTAATACGGTGACCAGAACTGAGCAGCATAGTCTAAATGAGGCCTAACCAAGGATATATAGAGTTGAAGAACAACCTGAGGACTTCTATTATTTATACTTCTTGATATGAAGCCAAGAATTCTGTTAGCTTTATTGCGAACACTAATGCACTGTTGTCTTAGTTTTAGATTACTGCTAACCAGAACTCCTAAATCCTTTTCGCAGTCAGTAGTATTAAGATCTACATTACAGTGATCCCTCATATATCGTCCTTAATCCGTTCCTAGAATTGGGACTATTATCGAAATAGACGATTTTTGAATCAATTTTCCCCATAAGAAATACAATGTAAACACAATTAATTCATTTCTGACACCCAGAAGTATTAAAACAAAAAAAAAAAACTTTTACATGAAATATAGATGTAGTACATAAACAATACAAAGGGACATGATGAATGAAACATTAACAGCATAACACTTACCTTTATTGGCAATTCTTCTTAGTGTATGGAAGACTGGAGGAGGAGAGAGATTGAATTACTGTTTGGAAGGGGAATCCCCTTCCATCAGTACCTCAGGTACCAAGTGCTTTTCTGGGGTTACTTCTCTTCTCTGTTTCTTAATGCCACTAGGACCAGCTTGAGAGTCACTGGAGTCCTGTCTCACAAAAAAAACTGTCCAGAGAGCTCTTTTTCTGGCGCGTTTTAAAAACTTCCCTAAAATGGGGCCAAGACTCTTTCACTGTACAAGTTGCCGATATGGATGCAAAAATCCTTCTCAGGTGAATTTCTCCATAAATGTTTCCATCCTACCCACATTTCAAAAATCTCCCTAATTTCTGAAGAAGGCACCTTCTCCATCTCTCTTTCCTCCTCCCTGCAGTAGGATTCTGAGCTGCGATCTGTTTTCTGTTCCTGCTGAAGCCTTGCAGCTCCTCATGGTTAGCCCCTTTTGTTGTGACCTCCACCACTCTTCCACATCCTCCAAACTCCATCCAACCCCATGGAACTCCCCAGTGCCCCAGTAGAGTTTTACAACTGAATAGGCTCATCAGGGGCTGCCTCAAACCCTTCAAAATCCCTCTTGTGGACACAATCTGGGGCCCCAAGTTTCTCCAAGCAGTGTTCAAAAGCCCTGGTAGTCACTCTCTCCCAAGCCTTACTTATAAGGCTTATGCAATGGAGAATACTGAAGTGTTTCCCTTCCAAAAAACTCTTAGGGGCAAGTGAGTGTCTGAGATCAAATTAAAGCACCTTTCAAACATTGCTTTGGTTGTAGAGTTTTTTAAAGTTTGAAATGACTTG